GACCACCCCAACCCTTCTCCCTCCTCCATCACTCGCACCCGTCCACCATAGCTAACCACCTCCAACCCTTTTTCTTCCTCCATCACCCACACTCGCCGACCGGCTCCAACCCTTCTTCTTCCACCATCGCCCACACCCGTCCACCATAGCCAACCACCTCCAACCCTTCTTCCTCCTCCATCACCCACACCCGTCCACCATAGCCAACCATCTCCAACCCTTCATCCTCCTTCATCACCCACACCCGTGCGCCATAGCCGACCACCTCCAACCCTCCTTCATCCTCCATCACTCGCACCCGTCCACCATAGCCAACCACCTCCAACCCTTCATCCTCCTCCATCACCCACGCCCCTCCACCATAGCCGACCACCTCCAACCCTTCATCCTCCTCTATCACCCACACCCGTCCACCATAGCCAACCACCTCCAACCCTTCTTCCTCCTCCATCACCTACACCCGTCCACSATAGCCAAGCACCTCCAACCCTTTATCCTCCTTCATCACCCACACCCGTCCGCCATAGCCGACCACCTCCAACCCTCTTTCCTCCTCCATCACCCGCACCCGTCCACCATAGCCAACCACCTCCAACCCTTCATCCTCCTCCATCACCCATGCCCGTCCACCTTAGCTGACCACCTCCAACCCTTCATCCTCCGTCATCACCCACGTCCATCCACCATAGCCGACCACCTCCAACCCTCCTTCCTCCTCCATCACCCACACCCGTCCACCATAGCCAACCACCTCCAACCCCTCTTCCTCCTCCATCACCCACACCCGTCCACCATAGCCAACCACCTCCGACCCTTCATCCTCCACCATCACCCACACCGGTCCGCCATAGCCAACCACCTCCATAGCCAACCACCGCCATAGCCAACCACCGCCAACCGTCCTTCCTCCTCCATCACCCGCACCCGTCCACCATAGCCGACCACCTCCAACCCTTCCCCCTCTTCCATCACCCTCACCCGTCCACCATAGCCGACCACCCCCAACCCTTCTTCCACCTCCATCACCTACACCCGTCCACCATAGCCGACCACCTCAACCCTTCCTCGCTTATCACCTCCCTCATCCACTCGAGGGCTGAAGGGGCCGCAAGGGGGCACGGGAAGCCCCGGGTAGGGCCGGTTAGGAAGAGGCGAGGATCAAGGTCGATTAGGACGTGAGACTTCTTGATCTCTCTCTCTCTCTTTCTCTCTTTCTCTCTCTCTCTCTCTCTCTCTCTCTCTCTCTCT